CCCAAAGGACTCATCAGGGTCCTACAACATTCCTGGAGCCATCCCCAGATCCCAAAGGACTCATCAGGGTCCTACAACATTCCTGGAACATTCCCAGATCCCAAAGGGACTCATCAGGGTCCTACAACATTCCAGGGACCAGCCCCAGATCCCAAAGGACTCATCAGGGTCCTACAACATTCCAGGAACCAGCAACAGATCCCAAAGGACTCATCAGGGTCCTACAACATTCCTGGAACATTCCCAGATCCCAAAGGACTCATCAGGGTCCTACAACATTCCAGGGACCAGCAACAGATCCCAAAGGACTCATCAGGGTCCTACAACATTCCAGGACCAGCCCCAGATCCCAAAGGACTCATCAGGGTCCTACAACATTCCAGGGACCATCCCCAGATCCCAAAGGGACTCATCAGGGTCCTACAACATTCCTGGAGCCATCCCCAGATCCCAAAGGGACTCATCAGGGTCCTACAACGTTCCAGGACCATCCCCAGATCCCAAAGGACTCATCAGGGTTCTACAACATTCCTGGAGCCATTCCCAGATCCCAAAGGGACTCATCAGGGTCCTACAACATTCCAGGACCATCCCCAGATCCCAAAGGACTCATCAGAGTCCTACAACATTCCAGGACCATCCCCAGATCCCAAAGGGACTCATCAGGGTCCTACAACATTCCAGGAACCAGCAACAGATCCCAAAGGACTCATCGGGGTCCTACAACATTCCAGGGACCATCCCCAGATCCCAAAGGGACTCATCAGGGTCCTACAACATTCCAGGGACCAGCAACAGATCCCAAAGGGACTCATCAGGGTCCTACAACATTCCAGGAACCATCCCCAGATCCCAAAGGGACTCATCAGGGTCCTACAACACTCCTGGAACATTCCCAGATCCCAAAGGACTCATCAGGGTCCTACAACATTCCTGGACCATCCCCAGATCCCAAAGGACTCATCGGGGTCCTACAACATTCCAGGGACCATCCCCAGATCCCAAAGGACTCATCAGGGTCCTACAACATTCCAGGGACCAGCAACAGATCCCAAAGGGACTCATCAGGGTCCTACAACATTCCAGGGACCAGCAACAGATCCCAAAGGACTCATCAGGGTCCTACAACATTCCAGGGACCATCCCCAGATCCCAAAGGGACTCATCAGGGTCCTACAACATTCCTGGAACATTCCCAGATCCCAAAGGGACTCAGCAGGGTCCTACAACATTCCAGGGACCATCCCCAGATCCCAAAGGACTCATCAGGGTCCTACAACATTCCAGGGACCATCCCCAGATCCCAAAGGACTCATCAGGGTCCTACAACATTCCTGGAACCATCCCCAGATCCCAAAGGACTCATCAGGGTCCTACAACACTCCTGGAACATTCCCAGATCCCAAAGGACTCATCAGGGTCCTACAACATTCCAGGGACCAGCCCCAGATCCCAAAGGACTCATCAGGGTCCTACAACATTCCAGGGACCATCCCCAGATCCCAAAGGACTCATCAGGGTCCTACAACATTCCAGGAACCATCCCCAGATCCCAAAGGACTCATCAGGGTCCTACAACATTCCAGGAAGGGGCTGAGGAGCCACCAGGGTTTGTGGGAAGGGGTTGAGGAGCCACGGGGGTTTGTGGGAAGGGGATGAGGAGCCAGCAGGGGATGAGGAGCCACGGGGGTTTGTGGGAAGGGGATGAGGAGCCACCAGGGTTTGTGGGAAGGGGTTGAGAAGCCACCAGTGGATGAGGCGCCACGGGTTTTGTGGGCAGGGATTGCGGAGCCCCAGGGGATGCGGAGCACCGGGGGTTTGTGACGGGGATGAGGAGCCACCAGGGTTTGTGGGAAGGGGCTGAGGAGCCACCAGGGTGTGTGGGAAGGGGTTGAGAAGCCACCAGGGTGTGTGGGAAGGGGTTGAGGAGCCACCAGGGTTTGTGGGAAGGGGATGAGGAGCCCCCAGGGGATGAGGAGCCACCGGGGTTTGTAGAAGGGGATGAGGAGCCCCCAGGGGATGAGGAGCCACGGGGGTCTGTGGGAAGGGGATGAGGAGCCCCCAGGGGACGAGGAGCCACCGGGGTTTGTAGAAGGGGATGAGGAGCCACCAGGGGATGAGGAGCCACGGGGGTTTGTGGGAATTTTGGGAAGGGGCTGAGGAGCCACCAGGGTGTGTGGGAAGGGGCTGAGGAGACACCAGGGTGTGTGGGAAGGGGCTGAGGAGCCACCAGGGTTTGTGGGAAGGGGCTGAGGAGACACCAGGGTTTGTGGGAAGGGGATGAGGAGTCCCCAGGGGATGAGGAGCCACGGGGGTTTGTGAGAAAGGGCTGAGGAGCCCCCAGGCCCCCAATCCGTGGGGCCGAGCGGGATCCCCGGGATCGCCGGCTACCTGTGTAGCCGATCTTCTCGAAGCTGAGCAGGCTGAAGATGCTGTCGTAGAGCTGCATCTCCTTCTTCCTCGTTTGGTCCATCTCGTCCAGGATCTCCATGAGCTCGTTGCCCGTCTTGGTGGGGTGGGTGCACTCGGCCTCGTGCACCGTCAGCTCGTGGTAGGGGCCCTGCCAGGGGCACCCGATCCGCTTGTACTTGCACTGGGTCACCCTGGAAAACAGGGAACGCGCGGGAAAACCGTCAGGGCAGGGGCGGGGAAGGGAGGGAATGAGGTGGAGCCGGCGGGGACGGCGGCGGGAAGGGAGGAGGGATCGCAAAGAGAGGTTGGGGAAGGATGGGAGAGGGGTGGGAAAGCATCAGCTGGGTGCAAAAGCAAGGCTTGGGAATGTGGGAGAGACGTGGAAAACCACCAGTGGCACAGCAAGGCTTGGGAATGTGGGAGAGATGTGGAAAACCACCAGTGGTGCAGCTGGATCCAGAAGCAAGGCTTGGGAATGTGGGAGAGACATGGAAAACCATCAGTGGTGCAGGTGGGTGCAAAAGCAAGGCTTGGGAATCTGGGAGAGACATGGAAAACCATCAGTGACACAGCAAGGCTTGGGAATGTGGGAGAGACATGGAAAACCATCACTGGTAGCCAGATCCAGAAGCAAGACTGGGAAATGTGGGAGAGACATGGAAAACCATCACTGGTAGCCAGATCCAGAAGCAAGACATCAGTGGCAGAGCATGGCTTGGGAATCTGGGAGAGATGTGGAAAACCATCAGTGGTGCAGTTGGATCCAGAAGCAAGGCTTGGGAATCTGGGAGACAGGGAAAACCACCAGTGGCACAGCAAGACTGGGAAATCTGGGAGAGACATGGAAAACCATCAGCTGGATACAGAAGGAAGACTGGGAAATGTGGGAGAGACATGGAAAACCATCAGTGGCACAGCAAGGCTTGGGAATCTGGGAGAGACATGGAAAACCATCAGTGGCACAGCAAGGCTTGGGAATGTGGGAGAGACATGGAAAACCATCAGTGGTGCAGCTGGATGCAAAAGCAAGGCTTGGGAATGGGAGAGACGTGGAAAACCACCATCTGAAGCAGCTGGATACAGAAAGAAGATTGGGAAATCTGGGAGAGACATGGAAAACCATCAGTGGTGCACCTCGATGCAGAAGGAAGGCTTGGGAATGTGGGAGAGACATGGAAAACCATCACTGGTAGCCAGATCCAGAAGCAAGACTGGGAAATCTGGGAGAGACATGGAAAACCATCAGTGGCAGAGCATGGCTTGGGAATCTGGGAGAGATGTGGAAAACCATCAGTGGTGCAGTTGGATCCAGAAGCAAGGCTTGGGAATCTGGGAGACAGGGAAAACCACCAGTGGCACAGCAAGACTGGGAAATCTGGGAGAGACGTGGAAAACCATCAGCTGGATACAGAAGGAAGACTGGGAAATGTGGGAGAGCTGTGGAAAACCACCAGTGGCACAGCAAGGCTTGGGAATGTGGGAGAGACATGGAAAACCACCAGTGGTGCAGCTGGATGCAAAAGCAAGGCTTGGGAATCTGGGAGAGATGTGGAAAACCATCAGTGGTAGCCAGATCCAGAAGCAAGACTGGGAATGTGGGAGAGACATGGAAAACCATCAGTGGCAGAGCAAGGCTTGGGAATGTGGGAGAGACATGGAAAACCATCAGTGGTGCAGCTGGATGCAAAAGCAAGGCTTGGGAATGTGGGAGAGACGTGGAAAACCATCAGTGACACAGCAAGGTTTGGGAATCTGGGAGAGACATGGAAAACCATCAGTGGTGCAGTTGGATCCAGAAGCAAGGCTGGATAATGTAGGAGAGACATGGAAAACCACCAGTGGCACAGCAAGACTGGGAAATCTGGGAGAGACATGGAAAACCAGCAGTGGCACAGCAAGGCTTGGGAATCTGGGAGAGATGTGGAAAACCAGCAGTGGTAGCCAGATCCAGAAGCAAGACTGGGAAATCTGGGAGAGACATGGAAAACCATCAGTGGTGCACCTGGATGTAAAAGCAAGGCTTGGGAATGTGGGGGAGACATGGAAAACCACCAGTGGTGCAGTTGGATCCAGAAGCAAGGCTTGGGAATGTGGGAGAGACATGGAAAACCACCAGTGGCACAGCAAGGCTTGGGAATGTGGGGGAGACATGGAAAACCACCAGTGGTGCAGTTGGATCCAGAAGCAAGACTGGATAATGTGGGAGAGACATGGAAAACCATCAGTGGCACAGCAAGGCTTGGGAATGTGGGAGAGACATGGAAAACCATCAGTGGTGCAGCTGGATGCAGAAGGAAGGCTTGGGAATCTGGGAGAGACATGGAAAAGCATCAGTGGCACAGCAAGGCTTGGGAATCCGGGAGAGACGTGGAAAACCATCAGTGGTGCAGCTGGATGCAAAATCAAGGCTTGGGAATCTGGGAGAGATGTGGAAAACCATCGGTGGTATCCAGATCCAGAAGCAAGACTGGGAAATCTGGGAGAGACATGGAAAACCACCAGTGGTGCAGTTGGATGCAAAATCAAGGCTTAGGAATGGGAGAGACGTGGAAAACCACCATCTGAAGCAGCTGGATACAGAAAGAAGATTGGGAAATCTGGGAGAGACGTGGAAAACCATCAGTGGCACAGCAAGGTTTGGGAATGTGGGAGAGACATGGAAAACCACCAGTGGTGCAGGTGGGTGCAAAAGTAAGGCTTGGGAATGTGGGAGAGACATGGAAAACCATCAGTGGTATCCAGATCCAGAAGCAAGACTGGGAAATCTGGGAGAGACATGGAAAACCAGCAGTGGTGCAGCTGGATCCAGAAGGAAGGCTTGGGAATCTGGGAGAGACATGGAAAACCATCGGTGGTGCAGCTGGATGCAAAATCAAGGCTTGGGAATGTGGGAGAGACATGGAAAACCACCAGTGGTGCAGTTGGAGTGGGATGGATTCCCATGGGAGAGGCCAACTGGGCGTGGCAGGGTGTGGCCACGGGAAAGGAGGGAACCAGAGCCGGGTTCTGCTGGATGCCAACGTGGCTCCGGGCCCTTTCCCAAACCTCCACTGCTTCCCAAGGAGCTGGGATGATGCCAGAGGGGAATTTTGGGGTGGGAAGACCCTGTGCCAGGGCCTGGAGAGAGAACTGCCTTTGCCATGGTCGTGAAGCCACCTCAGAGCTCCCCAAGGAGGTGGGATCCTGCTGGGAAGGGAATTTTGGGATGAGAACACCCCTTGCCAGGGCCTGGAGACGGAACTGCCTTTGCCACGACTCCAGAGCTGGCTCCATCACTTCCCAAGGAGGTGGGATGATGCCAGAGGGGAATTTTGGGGTGGGAAGACCCTGTGCCAGGGCCTGGAGAGAGAACTGGCTTTGCCATGGGTGTGAAGCCACCTCAGAGCTCCCCAAGGAAGTTGGATGATGCCAAGGGGGAATTCTGGAACGGGAACACCCCGTGCCAGGGGCTAGAGGAGGAACTGCCTCCGCCACGACTCCATCACTTCCCAAGGAGGTGGGATAGTGCCAGGGAGGAATTTTGGAATGAGAACACCCTGTGCCAGGGCCTGGAGAGGGATCTGCCTTTGCCATGACTCTGGAGCTGACTCAGGGCTTCCCAAGGAGGTGGGATGATGCCAAGGGGGAATTTTGGGGTGGGAAGACCCTGTGCCAGGGCCTGGAGAGAGAACTGGCTTTGCCATGGTCGTGAAGCCACCTCAGAGCTTCCCAAGGAAGTTGGATGATGCCAAGGGGGAATTTTGGAACGGGAACACCCCGTGCCAGGGCCTGGAGAGGGAACTGACTCTGGAGCTGACTCAGGGCTTCCCAGGGAGGTGGGATGATGATGCCAAGGGGGAATTTTGGAGCGGGAACACCCCGTGCCAGGGGCTAGAGGAGGAACTGCCTCCGCCACGACTCCATCGCTTCCCAAGCAGCTGCGATCCCACCAGGGACGGACTTCAGAACGGGAACACCCCACACCAAAGCCTCGACGGAGCCACCGAAACATCTCCCCCCCCACCCCGACCCCACCACCGCCAACTCCCGAAACCGCCGCGACCCTCGGCCCGTCCCTCCCCGTCCCCGCTGACCGGTCCTGGCACTCCTCCTTCTGGTGCCTCTCGAGCAGGGAGCGGGGGAACTGCTGGGCGCAGAAGCCGCACTCGGAGGGCAGCTCGCTGACGGCCTTCTCCACGGCCAGGTTGCGGCAGCACAGGCTCTTGCTGATCTCGCAGCGGCATTTGGGGCAGGTCGCCTTCTCCTCCGTCAGCCGCGCGTCCGCCAGCAGGTGGATGAAGCAGCCGGCGCACATCAGGTGCCCGTTGGTGCACGGCGGGGACACACACGGGGAGGGAGAGGCCTCAGGGGACCGGGAATCGGGAATGGGGAAGAAGAGCCCGGTCAGGGAACTGGGAATGGGGAAGAAGAGCCCGGTCAGGGAACCGGGAATTGGGAAGAAGATCCCGGTCAGGGAACCGGGAATTGGGAAGAAGAGCCCAGTCAGGGAACCGGGAATCGGGAAGAAGAGCCTGGTCAGGGAAATGGGAATCGGGAAGAAGAGCTCGGTCAGGGAACTGGGAATTGGGAAGAAGAACCTGGTCAGGGGGTCCCAGCACTGGGAATTGGGAAGAAGAGCCCAGTCAGGGAACTGGGAATCGGGAAGAAGAGCCCGGTCAGGGAACTGGGAATCGGGAAGAAGAGCCCGGTCAGGGAACCGGGAATTGGAAGAAGAGCCCGGTCAGGAAACTGGGAATTGGGAAGAAGAGCCCGGTCAGGGAAACGGGAATCGGGAATTCACAGGTGGATTCCTGGCAGGCAGGTTGGGAGTCTCTTCCCAGGAGAACACCTGGGGACGCCCCGGTCTGGCTTCACCAGGGGGGGTTTGCTCTCAATGGATTTGGGGTGTCCTGTATCAGTTTCTGTGGCTCTCCATGGATTTGGGGTGTCTGGGATCAGTTTTTGGGGCTCTCCATGGATTTGGGGTGTCTGGGATCAGTTTTTGGGGCTCTCCATGGATTTGGGGAAGAAGAGCCCGGTCAGGGAACTGGGAATTGGGAAGAAGAGCCCGGTCAGGGAACCGGGAATTGGGAAGAAGAGCCCAGTCAGGGAACCGGGAATCGGGAAGAAGAGCCCGGTCAGGGAACTGGGAATTGGGAAGATGAGCCCGGTCAGGGAACCGGGAATCGGGAAGAAGAGCCTGGTCAGGGAAATGGGAATCGGGAAGAAGAGCCCGGTCTGGGAACTGGGAATTGGGAAGAAGAGCCTGGTCAGGGAACTGGGAATTGGGAAGAAGAGCCCGGTCAGGGAGTCCCAGCACTGGGAATTGGGAAGAAGAGCCCAGTCAGGGAACTGGGAATTGGGAAGAAGAGCCCAGTCAGGGAACTGGGAATTGGGAAGAAGAGCCCAGTCAGGGAACTGGGAATCGGGAAGAAGAGCCTGGTCAGGGAACTGGGAATCGGGAAGAAGAGCCCGGTCAGGGAACTGGGAATCGGGAAGAAGAGCCCGGTCAGGGAACTGGGAATCGGGAAGAAGAGCCCGGTCAGGGAACTGGGAATGGGGAAGAAGAGCCTGGTCAGAGAACTGGGAATTGGGAAGAAGAGCCCGGTCAGGGAACTGGGAATTGGGAAGAAGAGCCCGGTCAGGGAACTGGGATTTGGAAGAAGAGCCCGGTCAGGGAACTGGGAATCGGGAAGAAGAGCCCGGTCAGGGAACTGGGAATCGGGAAGAAGAGTCCTGGTCAGGGAAACGGGGAATGGTGGAAGAAGAGCCCCGTACAAGGGACTGGGAAGTGGGAAGAAGAGCCACGGGTCAGGACGACTGGGAATTGGAAGAAGAGCCCCGGTCCCGGTCAGGGAACTGGGAATTGGGAAGAAGAGCCCGGTCAGGGAACTGGGAATTGGGAAGAAGAGCCCGGTCAGGGAACTGGGAATTGGGAAGAAGAGCCCGGTCAGGGAACTGGGAATTGGGAAGAAGAGCCCGGTCAGGGAACTGGGAATTGGGAAGAAGAGCCCAGTCAGGGAACTGGGAATTGGGAAGAAGAGCCCGGTCAGGGAAATGGGAATCGGGAAGAAGAGCCCGGTCAGGGAACTGGGAATTGGGAAGAAGAGCCCAGTCAGGGAAATGGGAATCGGGAAGAAGAGCCCGGTCAGGGAACCGGGAATGGGGAAGAAGAGCCTGGTCAGGGAACTGGGAATCGGGAAGAAGAGCCTGGTCAGGGAACTGGGAATGGGGAAGAAGAGCCCGGTCAGGGGGTCCCAGCACTGGGAATCGGGAAGAAGAGCCCGGTCAGGGAACTGGGAATTGGGAAGAAGAGCCCGGTCAGGGAACTGGGAATTGGGAAGAAGAGCCCGGTCAGCGAACTGGGAATTGGGAAGAAGAGCCCGGTCAGGGAACTGGGAATCGGGAAGAAGAGCCCGGTCAGGGAACCGGGAATGGGGAAGAAGAGCCCGGTCAGGGGGTCCCAGCACTGGGAATCGGGAATTGGGAAGAAGAGCCCGGTCAGGGAACTGGGAATTGGGAAGAAGAGCCCAGTCAGGGAACTGGGAATTGGGAAGAAGAGACCGGTCAGGGAACTGGGAATGGGGAAGAAGAGCCTGGTCAGGGAAATGGGAATGGGGAAGAAGAGCCCGGTCAGGGAACTGGGAATTGGGAAGAAGAGCCCGGTCAGGGAACTGGGAATTGGGAAGAAGAGCCCGGTCAGGGAACTGGGAATCGGGAAGAAGAGCCCGGTCAGGGAAATGGGAATTGGGAAGAAGAGCCCGGTCAGGGCAACTGGGAATTGGGACAGAAGAGCCCGGTCAGGGAAATGGGTAATTGGGAAGAAGGCCGGGTCAGGGAATGGGCGTCAGGGAACTGGGGAATCGGGGACGAACGAAAGAGGCCCGGTCAGTGGGAACTGGAATCGGGAAAGAAGAAGGAAGGAAGCCCGGTCCGGGAACGGAATACTGGGGAATTGGGAAAAAGAAGAGCCCTGGTCAGGGAACTGGGCCTTGGGAAGAGAGCCTGGTTAAGGGAACTGGGACTTTGGGAAGAAGAGCCGGTCAGGGGAACTGGGAATTGGGAAGAAGAGCCCGGTCAGGGAACTGGGAATTGGGAAGAAGAGCCCGGTCAGGGAACTGGGAATTGGGAAGAAGAGCCCGGTCAGGGAACTGGGAATTGGGAAGAAGAGCCCGGTCAGGGAACTGGGAATTGGGAATTCACGGGCGGATTCCCAGCGGAGGGGTTTGGAGTCTCTTCCCAGGAGAACACCCGGGGACGCCCCGGTCTGGCTTTACAGGGGGGTTTGTTTCTCCAGGGAATTAGTCCTGGATATTCCTGTTACTTGTTCCTAGGGCTTATTCTTAATGTTTACTCCTGGTATTTATTCCTAATATTTATTTCTAGTATTTATTCCTAATATTTATTCCCAATATTTATTTGTGTTATTTACTCTTGATATTTAATCCTAATATTTATTCCTAATATTTATTCCTAATATTTATTATTAATATTTATTCCTAATATTTATTATTATTATTTATCCCTATTTTTATTATTAATATTTATTCCTAATATTTACTACTAGTATTTATTCCTAATATTTGTTCCTAGTATTTATCCCTAATATTTATTCCTATTATTTATTCCTATTGTCTATTCTTAATGTTTAATCATAGTATTTATTCCTACTATTTATTCCTATTTTTTATTCTTAATAGTTATTCCTAATATTCATCCCTACTATTTATTCCTATTATTTATTCTTATTATTTATTCCTATTATCTATTCCTTGAATTTATTCCTTGAACTTATTCCTTGAATTTATTCATATTATTTATTCTTAATATTTATTCCTATTATTTATTCCTAGTATTTATTCCTATTGTTTGTTCTTAATGTTTATTCCTAACATTTATTCCCAGTATTTATTCCTGTTATTTACTCTTAATATTTATTCCTATTTGTTATTCTTAATAGTTACTCCTAGTATTTATTCCTAATATTTATTCCTAATATTATTATTATTTATTCTTAATATTTACTCCCAATATTTATTATTTTTATTCCTATTTTTTATTCTTAATATTTATTCCTAATATTTATTCCTAGGATTTATCCCTAATATTTATTCTTATTTTCTATTTTTAATATTTATTCCTAGGATTTATTCCTATTTTTTATTCTTAATAGTTATTCCTAATATTTACTCCTAATATTTATCCCTAGTATTTATTCCTATTATTTATTCCTATTATCTATTCCTTGAATTTATTCCTAGTATTTATTCTTAATATTTATTCCTATTACTTATTCCTACTTTTTATTCTTATTATTTATTTTTAATATTTATTCCTAGTATTTATTCCTAATATTTATTCCTCTTATGTATTCCTATTTTTTATTCTTAATATTTATCCCTAATATTTACTCCTAAAATTTATTCCCGACATTTATTCCTAATATTCATTCCTAGGATTTATTCCCATTTTTGATCCTGTCACCGTTTATCCAGGTGGGAATTTGCCTCCGGACTCATCCCGGGGTTAATTAGGGAAGGGAAAAGTTTCATCCCGTTCCCTCCTCTGCTTCCCACACATCCCACGGGAATCCAATCCAATTCCGGGCCGGGAATACCGGGAATGGCTCGGCTGGGAGCTCAAATTCCTGCGGGATCCCGGCCAGGCTCCGGGAAAAATCCCAGAAAAACGATGGGAATGCCAGAAAAAAAAAAAGTGAGGATATCCCCCTCCAAAAAAAAGGTGGGAATCCCTCCGAAAAAGAAGGGAATGCCAAAAAAAAAAGGGGGGAATCCCAAAAGGAAGACGGGAATCCATCCCAAAAAAAAAGGGGGGAATCCCAAAAGGGAGACGGGAATCCATCCCAAAAAAAAAGGGGGGAATCCCAAAAGGAAGACGGGAATCCATCCCAAAAAAAAAGGGGGGAATCCCAAAAGGGAGACGGGAATCCATCCCAAAAAAAAAGGGGGGAATCCCAAAAGGGAGACGGGAACCCATCCCAAAAAAAAAGGGGGGAATCCCAAAAGGAAGACGGGAACCCATCCCAAAAAAAAAGGGGGGAATCCCGAAAGGAAGACGGGAACCCATCCCAAAAAAAAAAGAAAGGAATTCCCCCCCGGGAATCAAAAAAAAAAAGATGTCCCCCCCCCCCCCAGGAATAGACGGGAACGACACCAAAAGAGGGGGGAAAAGCTTCCCAAAATCCCTGGATCCCACGGCTCCGGGGGATCCCCGAGGCTGGAATGTTCCCCGGCTGCTCAGAGGGCTCGGAACGCCGGGATTGGAGATTCCAGAGGAGCCAGGGAGCGGCTCTGAGGGTCGGAATGCCGGGATTGGGGATTCCAGAGCAGGTTGGAACGTTGGGATTGGGGATTCCAGAGGAACCAGGGAGCGGCTCCGAGGGCTTGGAATGCCGGGATTGGGGATTCCAGAGGAGCTCAGAA